CAACAGAAATGACTAAGACTGGAAAAGGGAGGCTGCACTTTTTTTGGGTACTAAGTAAAACATGAAATTTTCAATTACTAGTAGTACTACTAGTGTACTAAACAGAACAAGTGCTCTCATAAATTTGAGCTGTTCCCTAAACAAAAGACCATACTTCCCTTTCAGCAAACAAAAGGGACACAATGGGTGTTGTTGAGACCCTTTGCATATAATGAGCAACAAGACATAGGGATCAATTGGTGGAGGAATGGAAGGGAAATCAGAAGACCCAAGAGGAGAGATGCAGAAGAGACAAAAGAATGCCTAGGATTGCAATTAGGAGATATGCAGACTTGCCCTTCATCTTCCTCTTCCACTCAGGGGATGACCAAGCGCTTCTTAGTAACTGTTGTGGAGTAGACCACAAGGTCTTCAGGGATCTCATTGAGCTTTTTAGTCCAGCTTTTAACAGGTACATAGTTGATAAGAACAATGAGATTGTATTTCTTCCCCCCTCCCACTCAGAGTGGAAAGAAAAAGGGAAACCCAGGGAAGCAGATGCAACTTGTTGTCTTGGACCAGTGCTCTTCTGGTACAGAACTAGAGGGTCTGTTGCCAGGGGAATGGCAATGGCATTTGGTTTAACATCAACAGTGATGTACAAATGGCTCAAGTTATCCATGAGGATCCTCCTATCACCAGTGCTTCATAGCCATCCACTTGCCATGGTCAGTCTGCCAAGTGAGCAAGAAAGGATGATCCAAGGACAGTTCCCCAGGATGAAGGAGAGGCTTTGATTGGAGGACTTTGGAGAGAGGAAGATCATTATTCACTTGCTTGTCAACTTTTTCAACTACCAATGCAGTACCATTGGGCACAATTAGATCTTGACGGTCTTCATGAAGATGCCGCCGGCAACATGGGAGGCAATGGAGGAGCCTCATACCCTTGAGACATTAGTTCCGGGGTACTTCCATGCAGGGAGGAATGTATCTCCAGTTGGGAATAATGCATTCTTTGAATAATTCCCATGGTCAAATGGCTGTGGTTGAATATAAAACAACAGCCCATTAGATCAATTAAACACAACAATGCAATAATTCAACAATTCAATGCAACAACACAATGATTCAGTGGAGCAACAATTATACAAAAGAACGCATAGATTCAACACGGTGCAAAAGCTGTACCTACAGCGTTAGTTCGTACCATGGTGTGAGGAGGGCTGGTTAGTTTGGTTGAGATGTGTTTAGTTTGTGGAAGAATAGTGACTGCTTTAACACATAGTTTAATCAAAATAGTGAGCATTGATAGCAATAGCAAACAACAAGCTTCTTGTTAGCAGGCTTTAGACCATGTTGTTCTCAATTTTGCTGATAGTACTGATGAAAACCAGGATTAGAACTCACATTAAGCACGTGTGGTGCAATCCCACAAACCGGGGTTCACTTTCAAATCACATSCATTGATCAGCATTCACATGCATTKTTTTCAAACCTTATCTTCATTACAGAATATATTGAGACATTACATTGCTCTGTCTTTATGTTTAAGATATTCATCTTCATTACAGTATTCCAGTTTCAATCATTCCCACAAAGGGTATGCAGGAAAACCAACCACTCCCACAAAGGGTATGCACAAAAACCGATACTACTACTACTAGCAGCACAGCACAGAAAACCAAGGCAAAAATTTCAAATAGCACGGTCTGATGTGTAATAAACATCTACTCGTCTGCTACCAGTGCTCACAGAGCTGCTCATTATTTTGCTTTTTTGCTGCTACTAGCTATGCTGCTGTATGTTAAACGTTGATTTAGATTTAATACTTAATTTTGATTAATCGCTATCTCCATGAGAATTGCTATCACCATGGGAACTGCTTGTACCTCTAGTATGTCAATGCCTCTTGTTGTTGTTGCCACCAGCAAGCGCCACTGCCATTGTCAAGGCAAGGCTTTAAGCCAAGGTAAGCCAATGATCATCACGCTGTTGAGCCCTCCAATCTCTTGTCTCCTCCCTCTCATCAGCCTTCCTGTCCCTTTCAGCTTCTCTCTTGTCCTGTTGCATGAGATACTCCTTAAGAACAGCATCCTGTTTGGCAATTTCCTTCTTCAGCCTTCCATAGGATCTCTTTTTTGCTGATACCACAATGGCAGGATCCTCCTTGATGTCAATGGCAGTCTTGTTGGTTATTGTCATTGTGTTGCTTGAAGATGAAGCCTTCTCCAAGACCTCTACATCTTCACTATTGATGCTTGAGGAATGTATATTGTGAGAGGAATCTTTCCCCCCTCCTTGTGTCAAGGCATCGTTGAGACAAGACCTCCAGCAGTTGCACCTCTCTTTGTTTCAATCTAATGTATCGAGTAACAAGTAACAAGACAGGGGACATTCTTGTTTTTGGTGTCTGCTGCTTCTTTATGATCATAATGCCCAGCGTCTAAGGCGCCTTCTGTAAGTAAATTTATTGAGTCTTAATTTTGGTGGGCTATTTCAGTTGAGTCTTTCAATGGATTTTCAGTATTGGATTCCAGTCTAGATTTGGACTTTCTATCAAGGGTGAATCAAGCTTTGACAGAAAGTCAAAAAAATAAGGCTAGATGGTCTATTTTTGGTCTGTCTGTCTGTCTGTCTGTCTGTCTGTCTGTCTGTCTGTCTGTCTGTCTGTCTGTCTGCCTGTCAAAAAGTAGACCATCTAGATTAACGGGAATTTCCCATTAAGTGGTCACTGTCCCAAGTAATTCAACTGTATGTATCAATCTGTCTTTTCATGGCAAAGAGTGCAATGGATACGTACGTACTGAATAGGATACGTACGTGTTGGAAAGTACGTACTGGAAAGGATACGTACGTACTGTACCTGTATCTGAAGTATACGTACGATACGAAGCTTCGAAGAAAGGAATGAAGGAGCATACCATTCCTACGTACCTAT